AAGTTTTAAGAAAGTAAGAAATTGACTAATTATAATCGAATATGAAAAGAATAATCGACTATGATTGATCAATTTCTTACGGCTTAAAAATTAAATACTTATTGTGGACCGACACTAAAGCGATGTCTACAATGAGACTTTAAGACATAAGACTTAAGAAATTGATCAACTACAATCGAATTATAGAAGAATAACCGACTATGATTCGTCAATTTTTTACGATTATGGCATAAGTTAACAGATTACGGTCTCCATAAACCAATCTTAAAACTTAAGCAATAAGGAAATCAATGTTGTGGATTTGCTTACCGCTTACTGCCTATGTTCTTGACTGTGATTGGCTAATTCGCTTACTGCTACTACTACTTAAGTTTTCTTGGTGCCCTAAGCATTTACGTTTCGTTCTCTGCTATCGGCTTTAGGCAGAGAGAAGCCTGAGAGTGGACATGCCCGCGATTTAGCTGTAACTTTATTTTGAAGCGCTTCTATGTCTATAAAAACGTAAACATTGAACTACGCATCCAATGTCCATTACACATTTTACAGATTATACATCTTTATAAAAAAAGATGAAATAATGTTGATAGTAACAAAAATCTTTAGACACAATTTAATTTTTGTGGATTGGTGATACTGTGTAAGTAGTAAGTTAGTTGCGAAAATCTTTTTGATGTGTGTATATGCAATGTCATATGACGTGCATATAATAATGAGTAATAAAATGTGCATAAAATAATAAGTATTTTCTAACCGTAAATATAAAATATATTATAAAAGAAAAATAAGGAGAAACAAATGGAAAAGGGATAAATATCAGATAAGTAATATTCTTATAAAATAGAAAATAATTTATCTATATACACACTATAATAACTATAGATGTGTTGGACCGATTCTTTTTTTCGGTTAATTTTTTGTTGTAGGTTCAAGATTGGAGACGAAATGCTACTTCAAGAAATCAAGGATCGATTTTCTTTGATAATTTATTCAAAATTAATCAAAAATCTAAATTATCTTGGAAGTGCCCGAATGCCAATGTGGTCATTTAGCGATGACCTATATCAGTTTGATCATTCTTTTGATCCTTGGCGATGATTTGAATCAAGTGAATAGGCGATCGAGAGATCGCCATCGAGAGAATGTGATAATCTGAATCGAGTAGATAAGCAATCCATCATTCAGGAAATACGAGCTTGTCAGAATTCAAATGGATCTTTCCCGACCATGGTTATTGGATGCAAAAATGACATGAGATTCCTCTATTGCACCTTATGAGTATCAGCAATTTTAGGTGACT